CAGAGAACAGATGTGTTTGTTACAATATGAAAATATAATCCTCAAGCCTCACCATAATTTCGGAGTTATGGTCTAATGGTTAGAGAGACTTTAAGATGGTATCAGGGCAACCTAGGTTCAAAACCCATAAGCCACAAATTAAAAGAGGATATTTTAAAAATTAAAATTGCTGTTTGAGTCCAAATTTCGGCCCATAAAAAGGGCTCTCAACCTGCGGGGGCATGTTTAGAATATATAAATATAATCCTCAAGTCTCACCATAACTTCAGAGTTATCGCCTAATGGTTAGAGGGACTTTATTGCTTTTGGAATATTTAATCACTAAAGCTAGCTTTTTCTAAGACAAATATAGTGGGGAGAAAAATTCATATGGGCTTGGTAGGGATGAAAATGTTAATTTGCCTGTCTGATATGTCCCAGTACGTTAAAGGAAGGTTGATACTGATGGCAGCAGCAACTAAACAAATGCAGCGGATAATATTTCAGAAAAAAACTGACAGTGAGGAAAGAGGGACGGCAAAATAACATCTGGCATGATTATTAAACATTGGAATCAAAGAGCACTTCCTCCAAGAAACTTTGAGCTCTTGAATATATATGCCATTGAAAGTAGTTCTAGAACGGCCAGCAGGCAAAATACACAAGTCAAAATAAAAAAAGTAGGGGATCAGAATCACTGACTTCATATAATACATAGAAAAAATAAGCATGTAGGTTATAGATGCATATGATAGGCATGATATTCCTTCTCCTGAGCTGAATCATAATTTTGCAACCTACTTCAAGCAGATGATATATAAAACTTGACATATCTATTATTCAGGTTTCCGTTTTGATTTCTCATTTGACATCTTGCTCCAGAGCCAGATCAATTTTGACATGAAAAGGTAATGGATGACAAAATGATGGACAGCCTTATCTGAATTCTCATGTGACATGATATGTCGGGTTTGTTTTAACAATTCAGAGGCTAAAACAGTTAAAGAAAAACCCTATGTGATAATGTAAGACAAAAAAAAGTTATGATGATAAATAATTATTCTAATCACAATCTAAAAGTTGATGGGTTGTTGGGCCAGCAACGAATATAAGTTAATCTTAAACACCCATCTGTCCTCCTCATAACGGCTTCTGAGACATGGCTCACTTGGAAATATTTTCAGCGCAAAAGCAGAACAAATAGAAACAAAAAACATATTGAAAATGCCAAGGGTGTTTCGCATCCTAGACAGCTTGAAACTTGGCTGTTCTTAATACCACTCAACGCAAATGCCTAAGCTGGTCGACTCTGGGCACTGTGTATGAAGCCTTTACTAAACACTGAGATAAGGGGGGCTGTCAAGTGTCTACAGACAAACGCCATTAGCTGCTTATTTGAAACTCCTATTTCTAATATAAAAGATAGAAGGTCAGTAATCATCGGACCAAGCAACCTAGATAAACATAGAGTTATAAAACAACCATGTCTTGCATTGCCAATCAAAATTGGAACCTATGAAGCTACAGGTTAATATGTACTCAAGACATAAAAATTACTGAAGACTAAAAGGGGGTAAGCTGCTTAGAATACAAGTTGGTATCTTTCTTTTATCATTTGGATAACTTTTAACAACACAAGGTCCTTACCTGCAAGTGTATATGAGAAACTTCAAGGTACTTCTATGCTAAACTTGTTACAAGGTAGGATAAACATGACTACTGTGGACATGGATTCTTCTACCTCCAAACTATAAACTTACGGCTAATGATAGAACTAATGATGAAGGAAGCAAACATCTTTACTGAAGGAAATCGAAGTTAAACATTTACTAGAGTTTCAGAAACATACCTCCGCCCAGCAAGAATCTTGGCCATGTTCCCATTGTTATTAGTAGCAAATACATCGCTTTCATCACAAACAATATAGTCAATGGCAGCAAGTCTAGAAGAGTAGGAGAGAAAAGGTGTCAAATTCTCTCCAGCAAGCATTTCTTTGGTGTATAAGTGTGGAAAGAGGTCTCTAAGAGGTTTTAAAGTCTCTTCTCCACCATATATTTCTCCAGCTGCAACATAAACATATGTATCATTTCCAAAACCAAGAGCTCTTAACATCAAACCAACTTCAAATGGAGTCAATGGACATTTTCCTCGACTACGCTCATCTTCCGCGCTCAAATCCTACCAAAACACCAGAAGACAAGGTTTACTGATGTTGTCAATCAATAAGTAATCATATGAATTCAAGTTCACATTCAGTATCTTAATTCTTATTTCAGTATAGAAACATAAATAAATTAGATACGAAAGTATCTTAGTACTTATTTGATATAGTAAGGGTTGTTCTCCTACTCACTTTTTCCAGTTAAGCAAGATTTTTCATCATGGCTAACTGATCGTAGAAGATCACAGTGTGCCAATTGTGGTGGCGCACATAGACCACTAGTTGGTAAGTGAACATGAAGCAAATGGTTGAAATCAAGTATGAATTGGTCATCAGAAAAAAAGGTATTTCGTTCGTGTTATTCGATAATACTAACCACTGGGTAAGTGGTAGAAGAGCTAGTAGATAAAACCATGGCTTAACCCACCATTCCGGATCTTCCACCATTAATCTTCTCCTTCTTGGGCCTCAATAAAGCCAACAGTTAATGGAGTACCACAAAAATATAGTCCCACATCGAGTGCGTGGTGATTAAAAGTTGTGAGTGTTTAAATAGATAACCATGGGGTTCAAATGTGGCATCGACCATTCGATTTTGGCAGTGGTTTGAGCCAAACAAAGCATTACACTCAATGGAAGCAAATGGTTGAAATCAAGTATGAATTGGTCATCAGAAAAAAAGGTATTTCATTCGTGTTATTCGATAATACTAACCACTGGGTAAGTGGTAGAAGAGCTAGTAGATAAAACCGTGGCTAAACCCACCATTCCGGATCTTTCACCATTAATCGTCTCCTTCTTGGGCCTCAGTAAAGCCAATAGTTGATGGAGTACCACAAAAATATAGTCCCACATCGAGTGCATGGTGATTAAAAGTTATGAGTGTTTAAATAGATAAGGATGGGGTTCAAATGTGGCATCGGCCATTCGATTTTGGCAGTGGTTTGAGGCAAACAAAGCACTACACTTAATGGAAGCAAATGGTTGAAATCAAGTATGAATTGGTCATCAGAAAAAAGGTATTTCGTTCGTGTTATTCGATAATACTAACCACTGGGTAAGTGGTAGAAGAGCTAGTAGATAAAACTGTGGCTTAACCCACCATTCCGGATCTTTCACCATTAATATTCTCCTTCTTGGGCCTCAGTAAAGCCAACAGTTAATGGAGTACCACAAAAATATAATCCCACATCGAGTGTGTGGTGATTAAAAGTTGTGAGTGTTTAAATAGATAAGCATGGGGTTCAAATGTGGCATCGGCCATTCGATTTTGGTAGTGGTTTGAGCCAAACAAAGCACTACACTCAATGGACCCATAGCTTACATCGTGCCAATGGGGTTGCGGGCCCGAGGCATGACAGTTAAGCCGTCACATTCAGGTCAATGAGGAAGGTTATTATATCAAACTGTTCTGTAGGGCAGTTCAGATCAAAATCATGTGCACAGATAGTAGATTGAACTTCGCACCTACAAGTTTCAACAATTGCACTGGATACCTAAATTCTAATCATCGACCACTAAACATGAAAGTGATGGGTCTACTCTGAAAATATTAGGAGGGAAAACTAACCTAAAGCACCAGAAAATAGTGTACCAACAATTCATCAATAATTTTAGATTTTCAACATGATTAGAGCATAGAGGTTCTTAAATTAAGTCCCTCTAATCATTAGACCAAAACTTTAAAGTTATGATGAGAGTTGAGATTTTATATTTTATATTCTAACATGTCCCCGCAGATCGAAGACCCTTTCATGGGCAGAAACCTGGACTCATAGAGACTCATGGAGCAGTATCAAATTTTCTTTAGACATCCACAAAGAAATTCGTGGCCACCAAGATTCGAACTTGGGTCACTCAGATATCATCTTAAATTTAGTCTTTCTAATCATTATATTTATACCAACACTTACACCAACATTGTGAAGTCATGGTGAGAGTTGAGATTTCATATTTTATATTCTAACAGAGGTAATATTGTTTGCAGGAAAAAAAAGTATGAAAATTGAGAAGTAAACTTGTATTAATCTCTCTAACTTAGGAAAAGAATGAATACAATCTCCTACAGTAATCTCTCTAACCGACTTAGAAAAAGAAATTACAATCTTCTCTTATGGGTTTTCTGATTTACAAAAGAGAGAAAAATCGATAAAGATCTTTCCCTTTGTTTAAAACTAGGCTCTTCTTGGTGACGATGAGAGCTTGAATCTTGTATCCCGTTGACGATCCGAGCACCTCGCTTCGTGGAACGTTAGCCTATTCCTCTTGACTTCACGTCGGAAAGAACTTGCAAGGCAAGTTTAGAACTCTAAAATGAGTTTAAGAACTCTGCGAAAGAATTGATTTCAGAAAGAAGATTTGATTCTTTTTAATCTGAAATAAGCTAAACATCCTATTTTAAACTTCCTCAACTGAAGATGGTTCGAAAGCCAAGCCAAAAGCTCTCAAAAGCTTCAACAAAAGCCAATCAAAGATGATCCAAAAGAGGATCCCTCTTCAGCTGAATTCTCAGCTATTTGTAGGCTTTTAGGGGTATAACTGACCTCTTAATTCGCTTCATAATAGGGGCTTAACGGCCCCATTATGTGGGAAAACGGTTTTAAAACCGTTCAAATCGTGTTTGAAACGGTGAACGCGAGGTTCCCGTTCTGGAGCGAGCCTCGCGTTCAGCTTTGTGAAACGCGAAGGTGAGCCTCACGTTTGAAGTTTAGAACGCAGAGGTGAGCCTCGCGTTTTTGAGTTAAAATGCAGGGATGACCGTCACGTTTTGCTTTGAAGAGATCGTCAATTGTAATCTCTTTCTTTGAGTATTGCAAGGATCGTCATCTTGTAATCCTTGCATTTGGCTCTTTGAAATGTGAGTCGTCAATTTGTAACTTTCGTCTGTTGTTGTGAAAGTCATCAGATTGTAACTTTCATCTGTTGTCATGAAAGTCGTTAGATTGTAACCACTGTTATAAATAGCAGTAAAGAGCCCCGTAATAGCAACGCTAATAGCGTTAACGGTCCCTTCCCGCGACGCTATCGCCCGCTACGCTATCGCGCAATAGCGGTGACATATTACAGAATATGTCTGTTCGCAAAAACGGTCAATAGTGTATCATAACGGTAAATAGTGAGCGATTGCATTTGAAATTTGCTTTTTGATTGCTATTTAAAAGCGGTTTGAGGCTAATTTTTTTAAAATTAAACTCAACCATTGACCATTGCATTCTACCGTCTCTTGTAATTTTCAGCATACTCCCGTCACCTCTCATAGCCTCTGACACCTACCTTAATACTTCCTCTCACCTTCTTCACCGTGAGCACTGTTTTAAAAAACCTCCGCCTACTCTGCTTAGGCGTACGTCTAGACCTAGGCGGTACCTAGGTCGTCTAACTAGCACCTAGGTGGTATTTAGGCTGACCACCTAGATTTTACGAGTGTTTAGGGGAGTATTGTCTGCTTACGTGGTGGATTGCACCATGTAGGCCTTGATTATGATTTTATATGTCGTAGCCTACACGTCCTCCAAACTCTATTAACCTCCAAATATGAACACCTTCACTACCTCCTCCGACCTTCAGCAAAATCTCATCGATCACCACTTAAATGAAGAAAAAAAACGCCTAGAAACCGCATAGGCGCTCGCCTAGACGACTAAGCATTGGGCGCCAATTCCGACACCTAGAAGCACCCAGCGTTTAATGTAACATTGACCGTGAGCTTCTTTTAGGACAGTCCTGTCACCGCTAAGCTCTTTTTCTCGAAGACGATGACTTTTTGACTCTTCCAGTCATCTTCGGTATTACGTGATGTTTTTACATGTTTATTTTATGTTTAGGATCTTTTTAAATCATCCAATATGTACTTTTAGATTCCTTAGATTTTTCTTTAACTTTTTTTAGTGTTTATACATATCTAAATTAGACCGCTATTTGACTTTACGCTTTTTACCGCTATTTTACCGTAATAGCCCGAAATAGCCTTAGCGATGCCTCACCGCTATACGACGCTATCCGCTATCGATAACCTTGATTGTAACTTTCGTTTGTTGTGGTGAAAGTCGTCAATTTATAACTCTCATTGGTTAATGTGAAAGTCGTCAGATTGTAACTTTCATCATCAGTGCTTTGCCGGGATCAGCTATCTGTAGTAATTATTAGACAGCCTACAAATACATAATAGAGTTAACACTTCAACTGCTTACAAAGAGCATGCTTACAGAGAGCATACACTTCTTAAGTTCATAGTACTTTTACTATTATAATTACAAAGGTTAGGTGTGCCAACCTCCACTCATGTGTGCTCAACATGGGGTTTCCTAGTAAATAGGAGCCCCCAATTAATGGAAAAAAAATGCTAGCAAATGCAGAGGTTTGTATACTGAAGCCAGCTGGCATGTAAAAAAGTTACAGGATTGATTTACCTAAATTACTACATTCTACAGGAGTCACAAGTATAAAAACACAAGCAACCTCCTACAGCTGCTCTGAAAAATTGTGGTGTCTACAGATTTTAAAACCTAAAAACAGCTCGGATGTTCAATGTAAAAAGGTATAGGTCTGCAATTATTTCCTATCATCTTATTCATCCAACTCCTGAAATTTGCATGACTGTCAAATAGTAGTTGTGTAATAAGCCAGCAGGAGATAGAATTTGTATCATATAGGAACAAAGCCAGATCTATTCCTCCATGATGACCATGGAGTGGAAGGAAATATTTAGAAAACATGACTGATCTTGCTAAGATTCGTCCTCAGCAATTTAAGTCCATTTCTCTTATATGACAGTGAAAGACCTTTTAACTCCAGGGAAACAAGCATACTGGAAGAACAACTTCCACCCACTGACAGAAGTCAGGTATATGTAGCCTTGGAACTATAATTAAAAAAGTTGACAAACAATAAACATACTTCCTTGCGTAGGCACCTTGATGAAGTCATGTACATTCAGCCTAAGAACATTGCTTAGACATCAAATTGACCAAAAGAGGTCCCAAATCTACTTCCTTGAATAGACACCTTGACCAAGAGGGAGTCGAATAATTATTGCTTCCCAAGTTTCATTAGGGTCTGTTTGGATGTTGGATTTGTATTTTTATTAATGCCATAAATCCAAAGAATCTTTAGCAACCGAAGATTTTAATTTTGTGTTTGCTTTGTAAAATAATGGAATGAAAAGGAAGTGTTGAAAAGAGAATCCATGAATTTGTGGTTTGTTTGCAAAGAAAGTGCTAAAGTTGGAAAGTGAGTTGTGAGTTCCACTAAATCTAATGATTAACTTTATATTTAAAATAATGAAATATTTTATAATCATATGGTTCCAAATATATTGAAAATGTAATATAAAAAACTAAAATTTGGAAATATTCTATTAATTGAAATTTCTATTACTTGAAAATAAATTTTATGTTCATTAAACAAGTGGAAAGTTTAGTATTTTTTGAATTTATGTTGAACCTTACATTTTAATTTTTATTTGTAATATTTTTGTTTTAAGTTTTTCCATTTTTCCATTTTATTTTTTTTGGAAGTCCATAATTTTGAAGTACAATTTGGTAATTTTGTTTTCTTTTCTCAACTTTGTAATAGAGTCCATCGAATCAAATTAGGATGGTCAAAATGGAGAAGTGCTTCGAGAGTCTTATATGATCGTATATTACCTATGAGACTAAGAGAAAATTCTATAGGATAGTTATAAGACCATCAATGCTTTATGGTTCGAAATTCGGGCAATTAAGAAGCAACATATACAAAAAATGAGTATAGCAGAAATAAAAATGTTACTATGGTCTTGTGGGTATACACTAAAAGATAGAATAAGAACGAGTGCTTTCGTAGTAAATGAGAGGTTGCTCCAAATAATATGAAAGAGAATAGACTAAGGTGGTTTTGTAGACCTCTTAGTCCACTAGTTAGAAAATGTGATAATATTGTAGTTAATGAGACAAAGAGATCTCCATGTAAACTTAAAAGAACTTGATTGGGAACAATTAAAAAGGATATGATAATGGTTAATTTAACAGAGAAGATGGCCCATAATAGACTGAAATGGAAGAATAGAATTCATGCAACCGGCCCCAAATACTTGGGATAAAGGCTTTATTGTTGTTATTGTTGAACTTTGTAATACAGTATGGTGAATATATTTGATGAACAGTAGCTTATATAAGTAATAAATAAGAATTATTAGGTTCCAACATCGGTCCCAATACTGAGGGAACAACACAAGTTGTACAAAATATTCTTAATTAATGTGTGGGTCCCACCTTTATCTGACTTTCTCTGCAAAATCAGAGCTTTGAGGCCGGATTTCCTGACAGCGAAATTCAGAGAGCTGTCACCGAAATCGAAAAAGTTCTCAGCTTCCATATCCTTGCAACCGAACAGAGAATTTTCAAAGTGGATTTTGTTCTGACAAAAATTTAGAGCTGGGCCCACAAATCTAAAAACTCGTTAACAAATATTTGTAACCAAACAGGCCCTTAAACAAACATAAGATCACAATCAATATAAAAGCATGCAGAATACATCAATATGAAAGTTTTGTGCAAGAAAGATGAAGCATATACGCAGAGACAAAAGAAAAAAAGAATTGAGTAGGCATACAGGTAACGTTGCCCAGCGCTTCCTAATGTCACCCAGTTCCTTACGCTCTTTCTCACCACCACCATAATAACAGCCAGAAAATGCCAGCATGTCAGGTTCAAACCTGTAATGTCAATAAAAGCAACAGTTTGACAACGATCTAAAATTTCATAGAAGTGATCAGATAATTTGCGTGAAGTCAACTTCAGTATTAAGAATTTTTTAATTTTCTCAAAGTAGACGCTGAAACATTAGTATTCATGAATAAGCTTTGATGACGAAGAATTCATTCAAGGAGACACAGACAATTGCCGTCTATTTGCAAGGAACAAAGTCAAGCACCCTTATATGGAATATAAAAATCATTAGCTGACCAATATGAAGATTGGACTTAGTTCTGTCTTCTTCAGAGCAAACTAATCTATGCTACATGCTTAAAGAATTAACAATGCACTGAGAAAGAGAGAATAATGTTACTCAATAGCAGCTTAAGCTCCAAAATAGAAACGTATTAAAGAGCCATGAAAACGTAACGCAACAAGAAAAATGGGAAATGATGGACTTGTTACACGCTACAATTCACCAAATTTGAGTCTTTGATAACAATAAACTCAATTATGAATATAACAGTCTTCTATGTATAGTAAAATTCAATTATGGAGTAAATAAAATCAAACATGAGATTCAGCATTTATCTTGGCCACTCAAGGCAAAAGTGACCCAGTAGAAGGCCCACTGAATTAAATGTTTCGCTACTATTGCTTTACCTGGAATATTATGATTCTCCATACTACTTATTCAGGTGAATTTAACTGAGTATGACTGATGCATATATATAACTTATGTAGCTCTCCTTAAAACAGTATAATTGGTAACAGATGCATCAAAGTTGCACACGAATACCCTATCAATGATATAATTAAGTTATTCTGATACCATCTTATCCAGATTACTCAGGTGTCAGTTGGACAATTAGACCCATCAGCAACTGGAAACCCTTGCCAGTGTCATATTATTATTTGAAAGGGAATCACATGTAAAAGAAAAATACAATTCATTCTCTTCTCTAAAGAAAGAAACTCGTTATACCTCAAGTGAATTGCTATAAAGCGAGAACTCATCTTTCGCATCTTCTTCACCAATTTTTGGCCAAGTGATTGTATAGGCTTCGTAAATCTTAAGGCATGATAATTCACACGACATCGTAACTTCTGCAGCTCTTCATCAAGTGTGTTTGCAAGCCTATAATCGAACTTTGTCAATTGCAAAGCCTGCAATTTAATTTCTTAGGCATGTGCACAACACTCGTAACAATAGGATTACTAATAAAATGAACAAATGTGCCTAAAAGCATGTTGAAGATAGCCAAAAACACCTGTATAGAATCTCTTTTTGAGAGATCACAAAGAAATATATTAAGCTATTACAGGGGAACAGACATAAGATTTAACTGTCATGCTACCGTATGTGTAAGAAGTCATATCATTTTGTTAAGAATGACAACATTAAATGTAAATAACTGAATATGGCAGAGAAAGAAACTAGGATAAAGATGAAAAAGTAACATTAAATATTTAGAGAAGCAACACTAGAATAAATAAACCGAGTTCTTGGGGCACTTGATTGAAAAGTTACTTTACATAAGTGACTTCAACCGACTACTGGAATGGGCTAGTATCACTTTGCTCCAAACTTTGACAAGCCCCTTCTCTTGCCCATACTTTACTCCTGTCAGAAATTTTGCACTAAAGAGTGTTGAAACTGGATTGGTGACCGATTGCATAATTTCATCAATTCTTTCATGGAGCCTTATGCTCTATAGCTAACTCTATTGACAGAGGAAAAATGAAAAAGGTGTGTGTGATGATCATGATGACGAAGAGATGCTAGTTAGAGTCAAAATGCAAATGAGAATGTAATTATAGTTTTAATTGCAATTTTCAAGTCTTTTAAACAGTATGCAGGATATGTCAAAGAGTATAATCAAAATCTGCCTGTACGCTAAGCAAATCCAGCATATGACCAAGCAAGCTGCAAGACTTTCATGACCCATTTAAATTGGTTTTGCATGCACATATAATGGAAAGAAATAATCTGTAATATACTCATTTGTACAGCATTTGCATATGCTGCATTAAATAAATAGAGGATGTTGATAACGGACAGAGAATTTTGAGAAAAATTGAAGAATTTCCTAATGCATCCACTATGGGAATAATAACCAACAATTATCAACGATGATGCATTCCACATAATTTGTAAGCAGATTAATATAATTTTTATGCACATTAATTTTACTCCTGTAAATTGTAATACAATCAGCCATGCTTGAAAAAAAAAATTCTGCAAAGCATGTTGTAACAGCTCAGCAGTACGCATGTCATGAGCAGCAGCTAGCTATAAAAAACCACGTGCACAAATAACAGTGAGCGCAATGTGACTGAACAGGCATCTTGATGTATACTGGTCTCAGAATTAAAAAGGTCGAAATGACAGTTATGAAACTGAAAGCAATAATGACACTGGCATTTGGAAGTCCACTGTAGAATTATAAAAGATTGGGAACGAAGTGAACCTAGAATTCTTTTGGTACAAATGGTTTTGCAGCAGTATGAGCAGCACAGAACTAAGGGACACACCTCAACGACAAAGAACCTCAACAGAAATTACCAAGGCTGGGTGAACATGCTATATCAGTGCAAAATGAATGAGCCAGGATTTCCTGCAGAGTGGTCGACAGAATTTGTTTAATTGTAGCCTAGTTGAAATACTTGGGTGGTACTCCTGGTATGATTCTATTCATTCAATATATTGTATGCTTAAAATTCATTCTAATTTCTTGACATATTGATTTTGCCTCTGCATGGACATCTTTCCATAGATGCATAATGCGTATCCGATAGCATAAACCATTGAAGATGATAAAATTATTAACATTTGAAGAATCAGCTAAGCGAGGTCTGGCATATGCCAACACTGAGAATAAATGTTCGATAAAGTAACATTTTACAGGGGGCAAGATAAGTCTCCAAAAGGTTATTAACAAATCATCAACCAACAATCAGCACTAAAAGCGAAGACCATCGAAGATAAGGCTAAGAAGTTGTACGTAGTCATGACCCTCTTCCCGAGCAATAGAATTCCGCAATAGTGATCCATGGTAATAATAAACTAGAATAGCTGATCATGCTGATGATATAAACTAAATACATTCACATTATGCTACAATAGCTCAGATTTATTTTTAACACACAAGGATTTGCCTGATTTCAATAACATATATCAAATAAAAAGGCCCTTTACTGCAAGAGGGGTTACTTACACGTCTACGCAGGAGTATCGGCAGTGCAAAATCATGATAATATTCTGGAGTTGATTTCCGTGGTACCCGCATAGTGTATGGAGGTTTCTCCATTGATCTCATCACTTTATCTGGGATCCTCTTAACAACAGTTACATCTTTTGAAAGGGACGAAATAAACCAGTTCACATCAAAAATGTCGGCGAATTCACTGTAAGAAAAAAAATAGTGAAATGTAAGTCCACTCTATACGAACATTCATGTTGCCCAGACAGTGCTCTAATAGTATCGAAGTAGCGCATTTGCTTTCTTAAAAACCATGTGTTCAAACCTTTTATCTTTCCAGAAAGAATCATGATCCAGCTCAGGGATTACAAGAGTGGCATTTAAAATCCGAGCAACAACAACAGCATCTGTAATCTGAATGTATAAGTATGATAAGAACCAAAGTAGAAACAGGGGAATCTATTTTCATACTCAGTTGTAAGTTAATGTTCACATATATGTTTACATGCGTTAACAGAATCATCTATTGACTGTAAGTTGAAGAAAATTCTCCATATTTTTCAATGGGCCCAAGAATCAATTTAGTTGCTCAAACTTCAAAGTGTAACTATTTTGTATTCCATGGCAATTAAATTAGCCAAGGTAGTAGAAACAAACACTAATTTATGACGTGTGGCGAGGATCTATTTTCTATTCTATAACAATTAAAGTAATCAAGGTAGTATACACATCAATTTTAAGTTTACAAGGTGTGATGGGAGAAGAATTCAAGTAAACAGTGTAGCACTGTATCTTAGATATTACTTTATAATGCAAAAAAAGAAGTAGATCGGACACCAGCAGGACAGTTTTAACTTCCAATGAATCAAATAAGAAGAAAATAACCAAGGGAAAATCTTTCAGTTGGAATATGGACTTCATAAAATACATGGAAGACTGAGTAACCAGTAAAAAACAGCATTCACATAATACAGTAAGGTGGAGCGGTTAATATAAACCCACAAACATTAGGTGGCAAATGCAGAGACAAAGTTGCCCAAAGAATTTGCCAATATACAAACTAAATGACCTGTTTAGCATGCCTTAGATATCAATGAAAACACCATTATTGCTGTTGATAAAGGACTCATGTTATCACAAATAATCAGTTGATATTGCTGGAGCACTAGAAACTAATTAGAGGAAGTAGGAACAGAAGGTAAGCGTTGCAACAGAGAAAAACAAACTCCTCACATGTCAAGAAGACCTTGAAATCCTAGAAACCATAATAGCTAACCAGAAGACTTAAGTCAAGGAAACGAAGGATAATTCATGACATGCTTCAGGAAGATATCAATCAAAATAGGACTGTCCTCGTCAAAGGTACCTCGGTCCTGTTGGTAACTTGTTGTGCTGTACCACATATAACTGTTAGCACATATTATTGAGTGCTTGGGGGGGAAACTAGCACATTAAACTTGCAAAATAATTGAATACAAAAGGTAAATGGCATGATGGAATGTAGAGATGTGTCCCCACAGATGCATCAAGGGAATTCAGCATATACTTGATGATCAACCACCGTGAATGAATACCAATAATCAAGAAATATGGACCAACACAACTCCAAGAGCTGATGATACATTCAAATAAAGGCCAATACAACCTTCTTGCTTCAACAATTGGTGCTTATGATAGCAAGCATTCAAATACACAGTCAATCTTCCAGTAGTTTAGTTAATGCTTTAACAATCCCATTAGAAATTTTAAAAATAAAGAAAACTATCACCAACTGTTGATCAAGAAAAAACTCATGACCCAAATAGATCAAAGTACCATATTTAGTCAAGGAAAGGTAAAAGCTCAACAATCAGCTACATCAATATGAAGACAACTCATAACATTTCCAAACACGAAACATAAAGGAACACCAAGATGAAAGCTTAGTATAATGAAATATGTACATCAAGGAAAAGGTAACTGTTCCCAAAATCGCTTGATATACAGCCCCCAAAAATTTATCTCGAATGAAATTAACAGCTTCAACCAACACCCATGCCGCGCCCGACCATGCCCCACTCCCCCACACCACCCCACCGACCACCACATCCACACACACAAAGCATACGTAGCTATACAGGCACCTAGTGCAATTGGGGGAAGTCCTCTGATTATTAAAAGTCTACAGATAGAAGTGAACTTCATTTTCATTTCTCATGGAAAAGAAGAAAGGCAAAAGAGAGCACACTTTGCAGCTGTGGAGCATCAGACAAACTGGATGTCATATAGATGCTACAGAAATTTTCTAGGGCACTCAGTAAACTCAAAACTTCATTATTATAATGATAAATGCAAACAAACAATGAGAGATCTTACCCCTGTTCTCTGTTGGTTCAGTCCTCCGCTTGCTGCGATCAGTAAGTAGCCGTTAGATCTGCTTTCACGCGCACCAGCTAAAACCAATATACAAAATCAAGTTACCAGTATACAAATGAAATTCTATGTAAATATGCGGTATTCTTTCACAATCACACCACCAACAAAGTTAATAGCTTTCCAAAGAAATCATTAGTAATAATATGTTCATAGTTTGCAAGTTAAACAAATGAAGGCAAAAAGGAAACACAATCCTCTTTTCCCCCTCCCTAATATCATTATGAAGCAGTGAAACAACCAATGCTCACAAACAGTTCTTCCTCTGCACATGTATGCAAAATCAGGGGCATGACATGCCAAGAAAAACTACTTCTGTTAGAAGCTTTCTTAAAATAGTTTCAAACATAACCAAGAAATTTCCAAGACTATTTAGTATAACAACCTTGATGAATTCTACATAATTTTTTTGATGCCATCTTGGTAAAAATGTTATCACCTTCTGGTAGTTAGCCATAAAAGATTCTGTAGTTTCAACAAAGAGATTGTTCATGAAAGACAAAAAACAGAAAATAAAAGAAAATAAAATGTAAAATATTCTGGAGTGGTCCAAAAGAAATCCTTGTAAAGGATGACAAGCATCAGAGTAATAGTGATGAGCATCTGCACTAAATTTGATTTATGGGGCTACAACTTCAAAAAGTAATAATCCTGAACCAATAAGGGATTGCTCTTATCATTCTTGTCCTAAAAACCTTAACAATTATAATAATTTAACTCCTGAATGGGAAAATGTCAATGTTAGTATGTTAATCTAAGGGCTAAATAATGTAAAACTCATCAATTTTTATAAAAAAAATGCAAAGTCTAGAATATGATTTAAAAACTAGTTTCAGCACGAATTTGTACACGAATTGTCTAAAGTCCAGGAAAAATATGATTCGTCTTTACCTCAGAGCTTCTTCTGCACGCTACTAATTTCTTATCTTTATACAATTAGATCACTCATTTCTTTATCTTTATCACTGTCCATTGTTCCCCACATCGATCCCAGTTATTCAAATATAAAATACATTATCTGTCTCCATTTAAAATGTTTAGCTACGTGCTTAAATCCAAGCATGCATTTTAAATCTTAATTAGTAATGAGTTAATGTTCTCCTTAAAAGTATATTTTGTTGCCTCCGAATGCTTAACCATGGACTTTATATTATTAATCTAAATCCAAATGGTGAAGAAGAAAGGACTAATAAACAGTTAATTTAGCAAACTTAAAAGATGCTCAAATATTCCGAACATCTCGCATGTGCCAAAATGACAACAATATGCCAAATGCCTATTTGTTCTCCCTTTCATCTCCCTCTATATTATAGCATCCCTAATGTTTGATATCAGTGCTCCAGACCAACAATGTTATCTTCATATTTTTGTTCTGACAAAGACGAGCACAGGAAAGGATGTACTTAATGTCTTGACATTCTAGAGAACCATAATGCTCATTACAGTAACTTAAATCATATAATAAATAATAGCGTTTACAGAATCTTCCTCTTTTGGACTCGTATTCCTTCTAACTTTGAAAGTAAGATCACTATTATTTTCTTTAGTTTTGACCATCCCTTGCCTGGTCCAAA